AGTTGAGTTTTGTTTTTGGACATAAGAATTTGTAATTATTCATAAATATCATAAATATAACGAATAAATGTATTTATAAAGCATTTAACGTTGTTTATTGATATATTTTTAATAATGACAAATAATATTTATTATAAAAGTCATATATGTTTTATATTATGCAGTTCTACTATAAAATTCTATATCATTCTTATTTAGAATTCATCTAAATTGTTTTTATTTCTCTCTTTTTTTTTTTAACCTTATTAATTTAGGCCAATAGGACAATATTTATAAAACTGATTAAGTTAATAAAAAAAATTTCTCTTAAGTGTACCTGTAATGGATTTTCCAAAAAATAGCTTCTATTCTATTTTTCGTGACTAAATCGTATAAAAAAACATTAGTAATGATTACGAAAGCTATAGGATATAATATAATGTCAGATTGACTGTATTTACTAAACGTTCAAGAGCGCTTAAGAGAATACAAAGGCAGACACAGAGAGAAATAGAGAGAGAGAGGGAGAGAGGGAGAGAGACAGACAGACAGACAGACAGACAGATAGAAAGAAAGAGGAAGACAGGAATACTAAATGTTTTTAATCCTTTTAATGAAGAGATAATAATTTAATTGATCGAATTAATGAAAAAGAAATTTATAAGAAAGTTTATAGTACATGTTTCATCTGTATTGTTTTTGGTTATTTATCTCAGTCTATCGATAAAATTATGGTATAGTAAATGGATAGTTGTTACATTACACAGCAATGTTGGTTTGAATAGGAAGGATATCTATTTACCAGCAGAGAGAAGTATGCATAATTTTGTTTTATTCAATTTAACTGAATATATATAAATAAAATAATATATACAGCAGTATATTCTTAATTTATAGTTTTTTTATTATTTATTTTACAGCTGACAAAGAACTGATTTTCCATATTAGTAATTTTACTTTTATACTTCTATTCTATCCAAGTATTATATATAATTTTCGACATAAAATCCGATTCTTTGTTCACTATGCAATTGGTTATCCAATAACTTTACTCGTTCAATGGTTTGTCGTCTTTCTTATTCATAGAAATTTAAAAAATACTATTGAATTGTTAAAAGTTTATAATACTGTTGTTTGGCAATGGGACTATGGATATTACATCACTATAGTATTATTCATATCTTATCTACTTGTTATGAATATAATTTTATTATTACATTTTATAACAAGCTCAATCAAATATCAGGGTGTTTTGCCCTGTGGGAATTGGTTGGAAAATCAAGAAGAGAGAGACGGATGCTCAGTAGAGAACGAAATTTTATTAAAAACTGGAAATCCTTTAGTGAAGTATATAAAATACTCATGTAACGGCGGATTGACGTTTAATTATTTAGAACAAGAGATATTTAATACCTTATTGAAAAAGTCGAAATTTCGTAAGGATAACTGTATTACATACGAAATAGAAAACAGTTTCTATTCGAAGAAATTTTCAAATTATATATATTCATATCACGAAAGCAGATGCGCCTTACATAGCTGTCCAGTATTATCAAATACGCTTCAAGATTATTGTCAGTGGCAAAGATTAGGCCTAAGAATAAATATTTCCAAGTTGATGACAATTGATTTTACTAATGTTAGACATTTAAAAGATTTATTATTTCTTAATAAACTGAATTTCAACTTTATTACACCTTTTTCTAATATAAAGAATGTACGAAATGACTCGTTAATTGATTATTTACAAAAACATGAGAATTTTGATGAGAAATTTCCGAAAATGATGGAGTTTATAATTGAAAGTTTACTAATAAGAGAGAATGGATTTTCTCTGATTAATGAGTTAATAGGAAAGCTCCTAAATCCTAAACATAGAGAATTAGTTAAAAATTGCGTTATAAATAAAATTTTTAAGCGATGGCCTCCACCATTATGGTTCTACTGTCTACAGAAAGTACGTTACGAGATCAGAACATGCTCAAAAGAAACTGAAAAATGGACGTACAAGGATATAAAAGATTCAATATCTAATGTGCTTAAGCCTCAATCGAATAATTTAGATTTGTTTTCAGTTGTAAATCTCTCTTACGAATGTATTTGGAAAGATAAAAATTTCAAATATGGCATTTTTGAAATCCTACATTGTTAAAAAAAACTGGAAAACGTGACAAACTCACTTCAATTTGGATAAATATGAAAAAGAGAAATAATGAGATTTTTTAGTTATGAAGATACAATAGAATATAAGCTTTTGTTACACCTAATGGAATTCCAGATTGCAAAAAACCGTGAAATTTTTCATTAATAATTAATGAAAAATTATAATAGGAATAGTTGTTAGTTGTTAAAATATTTTCAATTTTTTTAATTTTTATGAATAATTCATATACATAATTGTTATAATTTTTACTTTATTAAGAAATAAAATTGTTTATTTAAAATTATCAAGTATAAAATAAAAAACTTTGCAAAAGTAAAGAGCGATAATAGAGAATTGTACATTTTTTAAATATTAGTCTCGCAGATTCCTGACGTTCTATCAGACATAGTCCTCCTCTTCTGTCTTAAACATTGTTAAAATAGAGCAATGAATTCTTTAATAACGAAAAAACTATTCGGAATAGCTTTCTTCCCAATTTTTGGATCTTATTGCGTTCTTTCAGTAACTGTTTACGTCAGCGAAATGATAGTAATTAAATATTTTAACGATACTTTAAATAAAACTATCATAATTCAATTACCCGATTCTAAAGGTAAGTTATTTATATTTATATATAAAGACATTTAAATACATTTATTCATAAAATTTATTGCATTAACAAATATCTATTTAATAGATAGTTCACTTTATGGAATTCTGGTGATAAATTTAGTTTTTATATCATCATCATTTTCCTATCTATTCCTAACGTCGATTAAAAGATGTTCCCATTTACTTTTGGGCTTCTTTGGAATATGTCTAATAGCCGTTGTTCATTATCGGTTTGCTTTTAAATTATATAGACAATGTAAAACGCAATTGGATATTTACACACAAAATGGACCCATTGATTGGAACTTACTACCCGGATTTTATATGTTTTTAGTATTGATGATTTATAATATTTTTATAATTATTTTTGTTTTTACATATAGAGTTATTATGTTAAAATCGTATTACGAAGAAATCAAAAGTATAGATACAGAGATTGAAGCATCTTTTACGAGATCCACAAAATTTCTTCAACTGCTAGAATATAAATGGAATTTCTTAGAGAAACGTTTGTCCATCTACGAGGTTGATTTAAAGAGACTTTTAACGTATAAAATTGCGCAATCAAACGATATTATGTATAATAATACAATGTTTGATTCTGTATCTTACTATACAGCTTCAGTTTGTCATAAAAGGCAAAGTATTTATCATAGTTTTCAAGCAAAGAGTAAACATATACCGATTCCATGTTCGTGGAAAAGATTAAGAATAAGAATTGATACTACTTTATACAATTGTAACTATTTTAAAAATCATAATAATCTTAAATTATTAAATGTACTTAATACAATGAATTTTCATGTATTAACGCCCTTTAATTTTTCAAATTTTATTAATAATCCTCAATCAGAATGTCTTTTAGATAATTTACAAGAGTTAGATCATTTTGATAGCATTTTTCCTAAAATTTATATATATTTAATTGAAAGTTTAGCAATTAGAGAAGATGGGATTTATCTTATAAATAAGCTTATTACAAAATTAAAAAGTCCAGATCATAAATTAATAATAAAATGCCATGTTCTTTTAGATACTTTTCTAATATGGCCACCACCACTATGGTATCAGGCTTTAATGAAAGTCCGTTCCCTTATAAAAAAGTATTATAGACAGAGAATTTTGAATAGAATGTTCAAAACTAAATTAAAAGATACAATAATTGAATCATCTATTTGCAATCCGTTGAAAAATCGTTTTAACTGGGATATATTTACTGTTTTGAAATTATCTTTTGAATCTTTATGGACTAATGAACAATTCTTATGTGGAATATTTGAATGTATACATATTTAATATAAAAATTTATTAAATTGAATAAATATTTTCGTTCCAAGTTCTTAAATTATTTCTATTGTTTATTCATTTTTTAATTTAGCCTCTCTTCCTCTTTAAAATAGCTTTACGTTGTTTATATCGATTTTCTCAGTTTGAAACTGCTTCATAACAAGATAAATAATCAGATTACATTTAATTAGAATTTTTAGTTTTATTTTTAATTAGGAATATTTTCCTTATGTATTTTAATATTGAAATATTTTTATATTCCCTTAATTTACATCTTATCGTCAAAATATTTATTTAGCTTTTAATGTATTCTCTTGTTTTTTAAAGGTTCAAAAGGTTGGCTATTATATAATTGTAGTGCCTTCTATATTATTTACTAGTAAAAGCTCTCTTCTTTTTTGTATTCTCTTATAAAAGAATTATGAAGTTAAATTATCTTCATTAATGGATTGTGCAGCAATGCTCTGTAGTTTGTCATTGTTAAAAGAGAGAGTTTGCAAATTTATTATCTTCATTAGTTTATTTGTGTTTCTTATTTTCTTTCTTTTTATTCTTTTGGCCTATTAACAGTTCGTATTTTAAGACCGTTCATTTATTATTATTACTATTTGCAATCAATAATAAGTAAAAAAAAATCGGTGAAATATGTAAAATCCATGCTATTTTTGGAAAGTTGCGGAAAATATTGTGATTATAAGAGTAGTTCTAGCAGATTGGGACAGTGGTCTAGGGGTATGATTCTCGTTTAGGGAACCGACTCACTAATCTACGAGAGGTCCCGGGTTCGAATCCCGGCTGTCCCCGTTGTTTAAGTTTTTTATTTTTTTTTCTTTTAATTTATGCTACTTAGGTCTAATTAATGATATGTTTTTTTCTTAAAGTAAAATAGGACAAGTACTATATATATATAAATATAAATTTTTATAACAGAAGTAGCAAGCGTGATACTTAACCTCTAGGAGAAAGTCTTAACCACAGTAATTGTGGTTTTAGCTTACACGCTGGTTGTAAGAGTTCTATTTACAAAAAGGCAAGAAAAGCTTTATAGGAGAACAATGTATAGTCGTCTACTGCATTATTCAAAACGGATAAAGATAGATGGAGTAGGTGGAAAAAGAAATTAGGTATATTAAGATGAGAAAAAAAACGTCTAATTAAATCTAAAAATAGCTTAAATAAGGAAGTCGAGCTATAATATATGGAATTTGATGAAATTTCATAAACCAAATTCTATCATTTATGTCAGTATTTAATTACTAAAGATTGTTTTTATTTAATTCAACAAGTATTCTATTTAAAGAACCTAATCAATCTTATGCTCCCTCTCCCTCTCTCTCTCTCTCTCTCTCTCTCTCTCTCTCTCTCACTTTTATTTCTTACTCTTTCTATCCCATTCTTTCTTTTTTTCCCTCTCACATGCTCCTCTCTTCCTTTCACATTCATTAAAGACACTCTAGTATATTATTTATAATAAATTTTCCTCTTGACTAAGTGGCACTTATATGATAAACTTTATCTTATTAAAGCTTCCTATTCTGTTTTGACGATTTTGCTTCTTCTTTCAACTATCAAATATTTAATTTACCGTGTACATCTTAATAGCTATATATACAGTATATACTATTATATTTATATCTTGTCCTTTTGTTAATAATCACAATTGATATAGTATTCTAAAGACTCTAGGGATTTTATTTTCTAATATTGAAATGTATTATTTCCCGAAAGAACCTAGGGACTTTTGCATTTTTATATTACAAATCTCTCAAAAGAACATTAGGTAACAATATTTCTATAGTGGGAAAAACTGAAGGATATTAATTGATTTCCAAGATTGGATGCTAAATTTCACTTAATATAATTGTTGCCCTAAGAAGAAATTAGAATATAACTTTCATTTTGTTGGTATGTTGAAATAAAACTTTTAAAAGTAGCTTGTATATTGTTTTTCACCGAATCATAATGGACTTGTAATTTTTTTATACGGTCAATTAACTAATACTATAATAGTAATAATCAATTAATACCTCAGGAAATAGGTTGATATTAAATAATTGGAAGGAGCAAGGTGAACCACTCTAAGGGTCTGGTTGTAGCTTCTAAATTCTAAGATAAACTGGTTACTCTAAAACTGCTACCCTTTATTTACAACTGAAAAATGTCAAAAACTACTTCTATTCTTGTTAAAACCTTTGGTTATACATTTATACTTTCGTATTTTAGCTACATAACATTTACGGTTAAACTTTATTATAGTGAACTATCTGTGGTCAGTTATAAAAATAGGACTGTTAACATTACAATATATGTGAACAAAGGTAAGTCTTCTTTCTTATTATACTATCTAAAAAAAAGTCTAAACTATGTTCTTTATTCTTTTTTAGATAAACTGCAAGATTTCTTTCATAGTGCAAACTTTACATATATTGTATTATATCCCTTATTACTGCTGAGTTTTATGAAAAAGTTTAATTGTTTCAAGTTTATTTTTGTATTTGTGCCTGTAATTTTACTACTGCAAATTCTTTTCGGTTCTCTATTATTCGAAAGAGTAAACAAAGAATTGAAAGAATATCAGCAAGTTTATAAATGCAAAAGAACCTGGCCAGTTGATTACTATATATTTATTCTTTGGGCATTCTGCCATTCATTCTTATTGATTTGTATATGCTTCTGGCGATTTATTCTGGAAAAGTATCAATCTGGTGGTTATATTGTTTTTACATGGAAAGGATTAATTAAGTTTCAATTGAGAAGTAGACAATTAGATAGTTTTCGAATAGAAAATGAACTTAGGGCCAGAAAAGGATATTTTATCGATTTAATTGAATATGCTTGGTCGACATTTTTGATGGTTAATTATCTCGATAGAGATAATGTATTATTAAATCTAACGGAATTCAATGAAATTGTATTTAATACAACAGAGAATGACTCGAATACGTATAATCACGCTCTCTCCAATCACAGAAAGTATTGTAACATTCACAAAACAACCTCCAAGTCAACAACAGCGAAAAGGAAGCCTTGTTCTTGGAGAATGCTAAGAATTAGATTGGATCCATGGAAATTTTCTTCAATAGATTTTGAAAATACAATTCACATAGATGATTTAGCTCTTCTTCATAAGATGAACATTCATTTTCTTACCCCATTCTCATATATGGAGACAAACCAGAATGATTGTCTCATAAATTGTTTGCAAAAATTCCATAGATTTGAAAATATATTTATCAAAATATATGTATACGTTATAGAAAGTCTCATTATAAGAGAGGATGGATTTACTCTTATTAACCTGTTGTTGGAAAAGTTACAAAGTTCATATCTAAGGGTCATGGTTCAAAATCAACTAACAAAAATAACATTCTCTAGCTGGCCTCCTCCACTATGGTTCCATTCCCTTATGAAATTGAGATATATGATAAAAAATAACTTGAAAGTTATCAATCTAAGATACTGCACAGAAGATATTTTATTGTTTATTTCTCGTCCTAGTGAAACTGTTATATTTGATATATTTTGTTTGTTAAATCTTACATTTAAAGATTTATGGATTCTAGAAAACTATGGATTATTTCAAGTTTTAAATATTCAAGATTAGTAGAATATAATAAAATTTTGATCCTGCTACTAAAAAATTCACAAATACTGTTTTAATACTAGAAGCAATAGATTTCTATAAAAAATAATAACATGCTCACGTGACATATACAAATATTAGAACCACTCTAATTCAACCATTTAAAGCGAATCTATAATATTTGAGCTGAAAACATAAAATGCTGCGAACAATCTCCAGTCGGATAGTGCAAATAAAATATGCAGTTATCTGCTCTCTTCTTATCTATTTTACATTCTCAATTGCAATAGTTTTTACGGAATGGATAAACCTGACGATATATACACAGAATGGTAGTATGAGCAGAAATATTTCTATTCCAGAAGAAAGAGGTATTTTAGACATTTATACAAAATATATATTTTCAACGGAATAGTATTGAAAAATTTCTGATTGTTTATTTTCTTTTTTTTTTAACTAGCATTCGACGATTTAGCCTTTCATTTTGGAAATTTGACCTTAATTACAATACTTTATCCGAGTTTATTATTCTTTTTTAAAAGAAATATTGTTTATATCGCATTATCAATTTTAACTATGTTAATAACATTTTTCGTTTGGGTATTTGCTGTCGAAATTTATATTGATTGCATTAATAGATTAAGATATTATAATAAATCTTACAGAATCGTATGGTTCTGGGGTTTTGGATTCTACGTTGCTATATTTCTCTTTTTGTTTGATGTCGTATTTATGGTATTTCTTCCTACATATAGATTTTTATTAAGTACCAACAATATGCATCAGTTTGCCTTTACGACTTGTTTTGAAAGAAGACCTAATGATGAAGAGTCGCTAATTGATACTGTTGACCAAGATAATTGTGAACAACCTCTATTATATCTAAAAGTTTTTGGTTTCGAAGCTGATTTTTCTAGTGTAAACAACAACTTCGAAAGAAGACCAATACTATATCAAATATATAAGTCAAAAAGAAAGAAAATTGATCATTTTGCTTCAATTAAGATAAATCTTAACAAGAGAAATCTAAATCTCTTATTAAAAGAAAATAATCAACAGGCGAAACATTTAAAACTATCTTCGTTTAAAGGATTACATTCAAACAGTGCAAAAATTAAGGTTAATTTGTCAAAAAAGCTATTGCAGAATCTTACATCTACAAAAGTGGAAAATGATAACGATTGGATATTACGTCAGTTGGCAATGTTAAATAAATTGGGTATACATTTATTAGTTCCTTTAAAATTAAAGGGCTATAAAAACAATAAATCAATAATTGATTGTCTCAAAGAAAGGGATAATTTTGATGATATATTTTCTAAATATTGTCGATTTTTTGTGGAAAGTTTGATTATTCATGAGAATGGATTACTCTTAGCTAATGAACTTGCACAAGAATTACAAGCTGAACATAAGCACGAAATATTGCAACTAGTTACGAAAAAAATATTTAGCGATTGGCCTCCTCCCCTAAGCTATTTGTGTTGGACAAAGACAAGAGAATATATTAAAGCATTTAATGGAGAAATTCAAATTTTAGATTTAAACAACACTGTATTAGAAACCCTTCTAAAAAACTATCACGAAAAGTCACTATTGCAATCATCACCCCTTCGGCTTTCTTATTCCAGGATATGGGAAATGTCAGCGTTGCATTACGGGATTTTTGAAAATATTGAATAACATATTAAACTGAGACTGTTTCTTTTTGTATTTTTAAAGATGCTATTGATAAAACTTGAATAGATTTATAATTTATTTCTTTTTTGTAGAAGAGGGAGTATTATAAAACTTATTTCTTCCTTAATAAAGTAAAAACCATATGAATGTGAAGCGATAGAAGTAACGAAAGTACAACTTACATTATATATTCTAAAACCGATATAAATAGAGTCAAATAAAGTTAGATAAAATTTAAATTTGAGTCGTTATTTTGTATTTTTACTTTCGTATTTGCTTTTTCGCTCCTTTCATATGACTAAAAGCTGTTAAGTTATTGTACTTTTTTATGTTTAAATTAATAATGTTTAACTTTATCGTAATCTCATTATTATAGTATCAAAATAAGACGATAACAATTGCTTTTCACGTGTTAGACTAGATAATTGGTATAACAAATAATTCGTTTGTTGAATAGCTCTAACGCTTAGTAGCTAGCTGGTAAGCTTTGAGGAGTGTAATCAACAAACTAAAAATAATCTATTCTAAGAATTGTTGCTCAATGAATGACATGCTTGAGCAAACGGTAGACAACAAGTTTCGTAACGCTTTGTTAACTTGCAGAGGGACAGTGGTCTAGGGGTATGATTCTCGCTTTGGGATTGAATTAAACAGTTAAAAACTGCAAAATTGCGAGAGGTCCCGGGTTCGAATCCCGGCTGTCCCCATTAAATTTTTTGAATTTCAAGTACAGCAATTTAATATTCTTGGCTTACTCGAAAGCAATATAAGGTTATATTGACATTTTTTGTTATGTTATGTAATGTCAATCTCTGAATCTTTCTCTAACAATTCTTTTATTGAATATCCTGTTTGCTTTGCAGATAAGAGATATTTGTTTTTTTTATAAGAGTATGCATTTTGCTAAAAACTATCAACAAGGAATTGCTCTTTGTAAAGAAAAATGATTTTGAACTTTAAAAGAAATAATAACATTCGTCCTATTTAATATTACTATTAATTATTATCTCTGCATTGATTATCATTATTATTATGATTATATTAATTTGTCATCAAACTTGAAAATAAAGTCAAATTTAACACGCTGGGACAGTGGTCTAGGGGTATGATTCTCGTTTAGGGAATTCATTCGCTAATCTACGAGAGGTCCCGGGTTCGAATCCCGGCTGTCCCCGTTGGCTAAATATTTTTTTTTTGCGCAATAATAAATATTGAAAAATTGATTTTATATAAAAAAGCATAAACATAAAACCTAAAACCAGTATAAAGCTTTGAAAATATATATAAAAGAACGCATTTAACAAAGAGTATTATATTATTATAGAAAAATTTCGCTGATTATTCCCCAGGTAATTTCTAATAAATGTAAATTGTTGAAAAAAAAAAGAAAAAAAATTATTGGGGACAGCCGGGATTCGAACCCGGGACCTCTCGCATGCTTAGTATATTACAACTTCCCAAAGCGAGAATCATACCCCTAGACCACTGTCCCTGTCTGAAGAATATTTCTATAAAAAGATGTTTTTTACAAATCATATTTCTTTTTACTTTAAATTAATTTATTTATAATAAATGGAAATTTTTTTTTTATAAAAAAAATTAATTATAATAAAGCATTTAAAGCTTTTTGTAAAATATTTATTATAACCTATTGCTTTAACATTTATTGTTAGAAAATTTTGTGCATAAACCATGTGTTTTTTAACTAATAAATTGTTAAATTTTATGTAATACACACTTTGTAAATAAATTAAACATAAGATTAATAGAATAATAGGTATACAACTATAAATTCTTAATTTTAGGTGTCATGATTGATCTTCTTGAAAATTAATCAGTTTTTGTAATAATGCTAATTGAATTTGTCTTAAATCAGACTATATAATACATTGTAATTCGTGACTATTGTTAAAGCTGTAGGCTATTGAAAAGTAAAAAGGAAACAGCTTCATCATCATCCATTTTGAAAGAGATGAGAAATAGGCAAAAACTATATTAAGATCTTTGTCTTTTTTTCTTTTCTTGCTCTTTTCATTGAATACAAGATTAAAAAAGCTAAGAAGATAAATGATTCTTTGAAATATAGGGATTATTTTAGTTTAATAAACGAAAAATGAAACTGAAAACACTAAAATAGAAAAGATGAAAAGAAATTAACGAAATTACTTTTATTTACTATACATAAGATCATTAAGACAAAAATTGTTAAACATTTACAATGTTACTAAGGTTACTTTAATAATTTCTTATATAAAAACATTCTTTAAAATGTAAAATATAATGAATCTATAAATGTCTCATAATTCGGACAAAAACTGTTCAAAGCATACAATAAAGAGGAAAAATATTAGATAGATTTTCAATATAAATTATTAGATTTAGATTCATTAACAATACGGTATATATTGATTTTTGCCTAGAGAAAGGTGAATTTTTAATGAACAGATAAACGAAATTGCAACATTTCTTAGTCTCACTTCAAGATGGGACAGTGGTCTAGGGGTATGATTCTCGCTTTGGGATGTTTATAATGTAAAAAATGCGAGAGGTCCCGGGTTCGAATCCCGGCTGTCCCCAATAGTTTTTGCTTTATTTTCTTGAACGATTCATATTTGCTATTATGGAAAAAATTATGATAAATTATGAATAAATCATGAAGGGACAGTGGTCTAGGGGTATGATTCTCGCTTTGGGATATTGAATATACTGTATAGAAATGCGAGAGGTCCCGGGTTCGAATCCCGGCTGTCCCCACTGTTTTTTATTTTACATTTTTCAAACATTAATGGTATAGTTATAGAAAAAAATTATAATAAATTATGAATAAATCATAAAGGGACAGTGGTCTAGGGGTATGATTCTCGCTTTGGGATATTGAATAAACTGCATAGAAATGCGAGAGGTCCCGGGTTCGAATCCCGGCTGTCCCCAATAGTTTTTGTTTTATTTTCTTGAACGATTCATATTTGAAATTATAGAAAAAATTATGATAAATTATGAATAAATCATAAAGGGACAGTGGTCTAGGGGTATGATTCTCGCTTTGGGATGTTGAATAAACTGTATAGAAATGCGAGAGGTCCCGGGTTCGAATCCCGGCTGTCCCCAATAATATTTTTGATATTTCTTCTCTAGAAAACAATATAAAGAAGAGTATATAATCTGATAAGAGAGTCTGTGAGTTAATTATTTAATTTACAATACTACTAAAGCGACAGTAACAATAATCTTTTAGTTCATATCTTTGGTTAACGCCATCACCAATTTGTTCTTTTTACCTGACAGTTCTGATTGATAAACAAAGCTAATTTTCAACATTCCTGGTATTATCTCTAATTTGATTAGGGAATTTCGAAAGAAACATTTGTAATTTTCCAGCATTATTCATTCATTGAAAAGTTACCAGTTTCTTTTAAAAGCGTGTCTCCTTCTCCCATTCGTTCTCTTTCAATAATGAAATAGCAAGCCGCACAGGAAAATTCATAATTCTCTATTGTTCATTAGAGATAATTATCATATACAATTATTCGATAGTCACAGTAAAAAAATGGCGACAACCAGGGGAAATTTACAAAGAATATGGTACTGTTTAGTTACTTTCTATTATATTATACTGGTGAGTTTATCGTTAGTGCTATGTTTCGATAATGATTGGATAACGGCGTCATTAATTGATAAGAAAGACAAATTGGAATTAAATAGCATATCTATTCCTTTAAATCAAAGTAAGTATTTTACTTAAAAACTAGACGTTAAACTTAATAGAAAGCTAAAAGAACTACTTTGTAGATAGAGAAGGAAAGACGTTTATAAGTTTGAATTTTATATATCTTGTTCTATTTATTATATTAAGTTTTTTATTAAAAAAATCAACTATATTCGTTGTTTTATTCTCATTAAATTCAATATGTCTATTTTCGTTGTGTTATTGTTTATATGAAATCTATAATGAATGGAAATTACTTTTCAAACCTTTCATTAATAATAGTAATAGTTATATAAGGCTGAAATTTAATTTTGGTATGTTTCTTTCGTTAAGTATCATTGTTAATCATATCTTTGGACTATTGTTTATATTTTCTTATCATATTTTACTGAAAAAGATTAATTGGATAGATAGATGGTTTCCCCAATGTAAAGACTGTTTCGAAGGAGAGGATGTTGAAGAAACATATAATTTCATTACAGACAATAAATCACCTATTCAATTCCTATTGATACCTTGTAGAAGAGGATTAACTATAAATGCAATTAATGCGGGAAATGTTTCAAAATTACCCGTGAATTATTTATCATCGAATTCAAATGATACTATCTACAATTGTACTGATAACGAATACAAAATAAGGTGTTGGGCAATTTCTAATCGTATAGGAACATACTGTACATATCTCCTTCAATGTTCATTCGAAAGGAAAAGACTTGATAGTTTGTCTACGTTTAGAATAGCTATTCTATTCGACGCAAAGAAATCTATTAATATTGATAGAAATGACCTAGAGTGTTTAGAAAGTTTGGCCTGTATCAATAAATTGGGTTTAGATTGTTTTTCTCCATTCACTAAACTTGACAAGAAGGAAGATTCAATATCATTAATTGATTATATCAGAAAGCACGATAACTTTACCCTTATCTTTGACAAACTGTATAAATTTATTATTGAAAGTTTACTAATAAGAGAAGATGGAATACATCTAATAAAAAAATTATTAAAGAAATTCAATACTAAAGAATATCAATTAATGATTAATAATTATACAATAAATGTAGTTTTTGAAAGATGGCCTCCACCTCTTTGGTATCTCACTCTTTGTAAACTGAGACTTTTCTATAGAAGAATCAACTATCCGTTCAAAGTTTTTGATTTCGATCAAGAAAATTATCTATTCTTCGTCAAGAATATACTAAATTTAAAATATGATAATTTATGGAGACGAAATTCAATTCGATATGGAATATTTGAAAAATTGAATATCTAGCTTGTTTTCTTTATCACTTTTATGCTTTCTAATAAATATTTATATTCTACTCTTCTATTCTATCAATAGATTCAAGATAAATAGGAACTAGATCTCTCTCAAGATTTCTCTTTCCTCTTTTTTTATCATTTAAGAATTAAAAATTACTTTGGGGACAGCCGGGATTCGAACCCGGGACCTCTCGCAATTTTGCAGATTTTAACTGTTCAAATTAAATCCCAAAGCGAGAATCATACCCCTAGACCACTGTCCCTGTCTGGAATATTAAAAGTATTTTCTTGTCTTGTATTAATCGAATTTATGATAATAAAGATATATGTACCTTTCCTTACTTCAGCATTCGACAAACTTCAAGCAAACAGTACACTTGGCGGGGAGGGGGAAATATACGCATCAAATTAAGACAAACAACATTATCTTTTACTTTATACATAAAACCTTGTCCATCTTTTTTTTGGTTCAAAAGGCTTTTCTTTTTTTGTTGTTTTTTACATATCTAATTCCGGGGAAATTGGATAAAGATTAAATATTTAATAAGCGCTGTAAGAACACGTTTTTTCTAATAATTGACTAAATTATGTCAAATCTAGTTTGTCAAGCATAAGAAATGTCTATTATAATATGAAGTTTAATATTAGTTTTATTGTAATTTGACCTAAATAAAAGTGTTCTCTACTCTCTTTTTGGAATTAGAAATATGAATTAATAAGTTATAAAAAGTGAAAGAAATAAAACTCATTTCTTTCTCTCTCTCTCTCTCTCTTTCTCGAAGCTTATCTAGTGCCTGTTTTTTTTGTATAGCATTAAATTTCATTGACAATTATTGACGTATGTTTGTAGAGTATCTTTGTTTCGTATTTGTCTTTATTAGGAGAAATATCAACAGTAATGAATAAAAAGAAAGCTATATAGTAATATAATATAGATCCATAATTTTTCATATATTCTTATAAAATACATACAAAGACACATTTAATAATTTCTTAGTGTTATTTTCAACA